TCGGCCGCCACCAGGGCAAAATTCAAAATTTCCTACCAACTGAAAATATTAGGTGTGTCCCGCGCGCTCATATTGCCTCATGCGCCGTAAAACACTTTACAAAAACAAAAATTCTATTTCATGACATTAGCATATGTTGCAAGTCCCGTAAAACTGTTACCAAAACTAATACGGCTTGATCTATTTCTTGTCTGTGTTTCTTCTTTTTTTTTTCCATTTTACCCGGTCCCATTAGAGATAGGGTTTGATACGGAGGTCCTGCGTCTTAAATAAGCTTACAAAGTGTTGCAAGGGGGCGTTAAACGTATAAATTTAAAAAATCAAAATATCCCATTTTAAAATTTTAAACACATTATTCTTCAATAACACATAATTTTTGGCACTTCTATTGCCTAATTGTGTTGCAAGCTCCCAAAAACTCCAACTAAAACTCCAAACCACCCTGCACCAAAGATCGTAGATAACAAGATGGTTCTCTCAGCCAAAAATGTGTTCGCGAAATTCCGCGCATTGGTTCAGATGGCGCTGCTGTCTTTGTTTTGAAGTTCCCTTTCATTTCTCCTGAAGAAGAATAGGAATAGCACAGTTAGTTAGTTTCACTTTTATTCTTTTTCACTCAAGTTCTCAAAGTCCGCACTTTTTGCGAGCGCTGTAAAACCCCGTACTTAAAAAAAAAAAAAAGAAAAGGCACCAACGAATTTTGAGAACCCCCTTTTTAATTGGCTCAAAGAGAGGAGTGAACTATCTTGTTATACACCATCTTTGCTTGCACTTAATGACCGTTCTGGTAGCGATGTGCTTCTCTTCACTGCCTACACCAATCATGTAATCTTACTTAAGACCAGAAAGGGGCGAGTCAAGTGGGCTGAGGGGGGCCAGGGAAACGCCCAACGTCTGTTCCAGAAGGTCCAGCCGCGGGGATTGGAGACATGCTTGACCACAGTGTCTGATAAACGACCCACATGCACAGCTGGTCGGGTTCTCAACGGAATTGTGGGTGGTTGGCGGGTGCTCTGGTGTGGTTTGTTTCTTCTTTCAAACATCTATCGTCCTTCTCTCTCCTCCTCCTTTTTTTGTTTGTTACCCTCTTGTAACGCACATAATCTTCGGCGCTTCTAGGACCTTATTGTGCTGCCAGTGTCGTAAAACTCTTTTGAAAACCCCCCCAAAAAATCTTTTTTTTGGAAGGATGGGTGGGCTGCAAGTAATAATAATAATAATAAGTAGCATTTGTATAGCGCATATCCCCGCTCAACAGCAGGCTCTATGCGCTTTACACTATATTATTGCCCCAGCAGACCATAGAACACTCCGAAACATTCTCAGCTTCCCGTGAAGCATACAGGGCAAGCAGCTGATAAAGCGCTCAAACACTAACAAACTGACAAGATCTTTCGCTGTCTATAGCCGGGTACCCATTCCCACCAAACATTTCCATTGAAACTTTATTTAGTCTTCGTCCCTTTCTCGAAAGTGTCATCTCTTAAGACCAATTCTTGTGCTCAGGTTTTAGAAAATGACAAAGAACAGGCGTCCTCCCCAAAATTATGGGTTTCAGAACGCGTTCCTTTGTGTTCAAAGTAAAAGGCCTTTGTGTTCGTTCTACGGGCGCCATTGGGAGGTGGCGTCGGTTGCCCAATGGTTAGGCTACCGGACTCGTAATCTAGAGATGAACGGGTTCGGAGCCGTTCAGGGGTTCAAGCCTCAGCTCAGTTCGACGTTGTGTCCTTGGGAAAGGCATCTCACTCGATTTTCCCAATTAGACTCGGTCCTTCCTCCTCCTTCTCCTCCTCCTCCTCCTCCTCC